GAATTTCCCGAATGTGTATGGACGGTAAGCACGTCACCATGAACTGTCCTCCTAATACTGGTTCAAAGTATTTTAATTACAATACAGATTGCAGTACGATACTATTCACAATTGCCAATTAAAATTTCATATACATCCATGTGGGAATCAATGGAAGAGTAAATGATGCCACAGTGTTTGCGAAATCAATTTTTAATGAGGCCTTGCGAAACAATTCACTGAATATACTGGAACAAAAGATTTTTGTCACTGACGATGCCTTCCCATTGAGAACCAACATTTTAAAACAATTTTCCAAATGTGGCCCGCTAGTGGAGAAACAAAAGATATTAAATTATAGGCCCGCAAGGGCTCGTCATTTTGTGGAAAACATATTCGGCATATTTGTGTCGAAATTTTGAATTTTTGAAAAGCTTATTCCACTCACTGTACAAACAATGGAATAAGTGGTGAAAACTACATGTGCTCTTTACAACTGGTTAAGAAAAACTTCAACTCCTATAAATCCATACATCCCGAGAGATATACTGGATGTTGAAAACTGGGAAGGACGGGTTAAACCAGGTACTGCTACCCAACATCCACATACTGGTCTTGAGGAAATTCTCCACTGTGAAATAAATAACTATACCAGGGTAGCAGAAGAACTACGAAATTATTATGCTGAACGTTTGTCACAACAGGAATTGTACCGTGGCAATGGAAAATGATCTAGTAACCTTCACGATTTATTGATTATACTTTAGAAATTTCTGACTTTGAATTGCCAATAATTTTATCTATGTGTTCCTAGATATTAATAGCTTATTATATAATAATAATAATAATAATAATAATAATAATAATAATAATAATAATAATAATAATAATAATAATAATGTATTTACCTACTCAATATAAATATGTTATCCATAATAAAATAGCTTTCTATTACAGAGAAATGGAAGATATATCTAGGAACTTCTACTTTTTAAATGTGTACATAAAAACCCATATGAGGTCTAGTTCGTATTTTATAGGATTGACCATGATTACCAATAAAAAATAAATAAATAAACATTTTGTTTTTAGCTTTCAAATTGGTTTGTCATTTAGTTTTGTTATTGGTTTGTTGTATTAGCGCAAATTAAGCGCCATTGGAGATACTGAGAAAAAATAAATAATTAAGTACAGTATAGATTCTTTAATCTGAATATCTACTAATCCGGCTCTAGACCAGTCATTCTACGGCAAAAAGAGCGATTTCAAGAAGAAATTGATAGCAGCAATCTGGCGACAGGAACTCGTTAGGGGGGATAGTTAATGAAAAATACATAAATTAGCACAGCCAATTTTGCCCCCATTCCGAATAAACAATGGTCAAAGTAGTCAAAATGAGGTTTTTCTCAAATATAATTTTTCAGAGGCAAGATAGAGAAAAAGTGTTCAGATGAAAGTTGTAGGTACTAAAAAAAACCTACAATTTCTTTTTTTATACATTAAAATCGGTGCATTATTTATCGAGATAATTGCAAAAAACATTAAGTTTTGCAGTGTTTTTTAATTGTTAATAGCTTTTGCAATAATGGTCATAGGCGAATTTTAATCTACTAAAAATGAGGGTATTACAGCCTTTTATATGTGACCATAAATTGGGCCCGATCGGTCCAATAGTTTATGAATAATTGCATTTGTTTATCCCAAATATGATTTTAAACGATTCAGCTATTTCATAAAAATCAATTTAAACGGCGGGAAATAATAGTTGTCTGAAAATTATGGTATGTTAAAAAAAAATCGATTTTTTTCAATTTTGCAATTTTTTCAGTGCAAAAAAGGGGTATTTTTTTTATAAATAAATAGAAGTAACTCCGGAACTACTGGTTTCAGGAACACGAGTCATATCACTGGACAGCTGGTAAAAAAAACATAGATTTAAAAAAAACCATATGCCCTACGCTCTTTCTGGGCCGAGATGGTCCTTTTTTTCTTAAAAATCACAGTTCCATTGTTTATAAACATTAAGTGCTGAAATTAATGCTATATATGCACAAAGGACTAAACTTTATGATACAATACAAACTCCACGCAGATTCAGGAATAAATAAAAAACTTAGTAAGTCAAAGTGGAGGTAAATTTTCTTAGCTCGTTCAGTCAGGGGTAGCTCGTCGAGAAAATGACAACTAGACCACCAAGCAACCCCTAAAATAAGGGTTGGTTCTTATAAGTGGTTTTTTAAAACATTTTTTCGTGGTGCAATTTGACTACAAATACCTTTAAACATATGGAATGCAATTAACAACCCCTAAAATGTCATCCCCCCCGGGTTGGTTCTTATTACCTGTCTGGAGTCTGGAATTGTGGGGAGGGTAGCAAAGCTACAGCACTTAGGCCCCATTGGGCCCCTTGTACATCCTCCCATTAGAGAGATTAATCCACCTGAGCTGCCAACCAGCTTATTACAGTGAAAAAGGTGGTGACGTTGCTCAGGGGGGTCTCTCTAATATAGGCCATTGAAGGCCAGCGTTCTCCCAACATGGACTCTCTGCAACACCGTCTCGTCTTCCTGTTCACAGCCCCTACAAAGGGGTGTTTCACACTTTCCCATATTGTAAAGGTGTTTCCTTAGCCAACAGTGTCCAGTTTGAATAACTCTCACCAGGCGAAGATTTGACCTAGCCAGGTATTTTTTGGCTGCGTCTTTGCTAGGATACACTAGGAACTCCTTAGCAAAGTGACAGCTGATTGTTTCATCCCACCGTTTCATAAATTCTTTGTGGGTGTCTTCCTTGATAATTCCAACAAGTGCCAACAACGGAAGCATACTGGAGGGGCCGGGTTCAAAAATGTTGAGGCCCGATGCACTCTTGGCTAGCTTGTCAGCTTCTTTATTGCCATAGCACTGCTCGTGTCCCTTTACCCAGCATACAGATATGCCGTTAGCGGCCGAGGCCACAACCAGTGCTTCATGGCATTCCCATACTGTCCTAGTCATTATCTTATGATTACGCAAGGTCAGTAGTGCTTGTCTACTATCCGTGTAGATTCTAATGGTTTTGCCCGTAGTATGCCTGCCGGCAATTTCCTTCGCAGCTATGGTTATGCCTGCTAACTCCGTTTGTACAACGGTAGCATGCCTATCTATTGCCCACTGATATCGGATGTGCAGGGATCTAGAGTATATTCCACATCCTGCACCCTCCTTCCTTTTTGATCCGTCTGTGAAGATGCTAATTACATCTCCACGGGTGGTCTCCTCCTGTCTCTTAATGAGTACGGGGTAGGGTTTGTCAAATGCAAACCGGGGAGAAATACTGTCAGTGTCTGCCTGCAGGAGGGGCGTCTTCCTGACGACCTCATTCCACAGGCGACTTCTGACTTCTCCACATCCTACTACCGGTTTTAAGCCAACGTTCTCGAGGCGAAGCATGGTTGTCAAAGCCATTTCTCTTAAATAAATATCCAGAGGTGGCAGACACAGCATTACCTCCATTGCTATGGTAGGTGTTGTACGCATAGCTCCAGTTATGCTCAGACAGGCAACCCTTTGTACTTGGCTGAGCTTTTGTTTAGCTGTCGTCTGCTGGGATTTCGGCCACCAGACGACAGCCCCATAGGCTAACATTGGTCTCACTATGGCAGTGTATATCCACATAACCACATTTGGTTTCATGCCCCAGGTTTTGCCAACGGTTCTGCGGCACTGCTCATAGGATATGTACGCCTTTTTTAATCTTCTCTCAAAGTGAAGATTCCATGTTAGCTTTGCATCGAGTGTAACCCCTAGGTATTTCACATCAGATGCAAAGCTTAGCATAGTGTTTAGGAGAGTTGGTGCCTTTGTTGGCCCCAATTTTCTCTTCCTCGTGAAGAGGACCATTTCCGTCTTCCTGGGGTTCACTGACAGAGCATGGTCCTCACACCACTTTTCAATAATTCTCAGGGCTGTTTGCATTCTTTGGCAAAGGATCCCTTAGAATTTACCGCTAATGAGCATAGTGAGTTCATCTACACAAGCGATGGTATAGATGCCTTCCGAGTTGAGGTGGCACAAGAGACTGTCTAGAACTAAGTTCCACAGCAGTGGTGATAGAACATCTCCCTGCGGACAGCCCCTTGCAACAATTCCTCTCGCGGAGGCATCCCCCACACTGATTTGTATAGCTCTTTTTGTGAGCATATTCGATATCCATCTGCAGATGGTGGAAGAAACCCCTCTCTCCATGAGAGCCGAGTTGATTTTGGGAAAGGACGTTTTGTCAAACGCCCCTTCTATGTTAATGAATACCCCCAGGGTGGACTCCTTGTTGTCCAAAGATTTCTCGATCCTGCCCACCACCTGATGGGGAGCAGTATCGGTAGATCGCCCTGGAGTGTATGCATGTTGATTAGGATGTGGCTGTCTGTCCATCAGCACACTATCCCTTATGTATCGTTCACACAGCTTTTCCATCGTTTTCAACAGAAACGAGGTCAGGCTGATGGCTCGATACGCCTTTGGGGAGGTATAATCCAGCCTCCCTGTTTTGGGAATGAATACAACCCTTAGCTCCCTCCAGATCTTTGGAATGTAAAGGTGTGCAAAACACAGCCTAAACATCCGCTTCAGGTGCGGCATTAAAACATCTAAGCCTCATTGTAAGAGGGCTGGATATATACCGTCAGTGCCTGGTGATTTGAAGGGTGAGAAGGTCTGCATTGCCCATCTAATTTTGTCCTTAGTTACAGTTTGGTTGGCAATCTGCCAATCCAAGACTGCGGATGGGTTTTCAATTTCGTCTGGCCAATCTTCCCGTTCCATTGATGTGGATTCCGGGAAGTGGGTCCGCATCAGCAGTTCCAGACTTTCATTTAGATTGACGGTTCTCACGCCATCCTCTCTGATTAATAGATCTATATCATGATCTTTCTCTTTTGGAAGGATCTTACATAGCCTAGCAGCCTGCGAGTAGTGTTCAATCTCCTCGCAGTAGGCTCTCCATGCATCCCTTTGTCTTTTCCTGACCAGTTTTTTGAAGTCTCAGGTGGGTTTGTATATTTCCCAGTCTGAGTCTTGTCTTGTCATTTTTGCCTTGTTAAATGATATCCTGGCCTTCTTCCTCAGTTCGCTCAGCTCCCGGTTCCACCAACCCGTGATTGCGCCGGTTTGCCTAGCTGATCTGAGGGGGCAGGATGTTATAAAGGCTCTTTTTATGACAGATTGTACAGTATTCACAAATACCTCAATCTCTCCATTGTTTCTGGGCTCCTGATCTTGTACCGCTGCCAGGTTCTCCCGGAGGTGACAAAGGTATTTATTCCTGTCAGTTCCTCGGGGATCCCGGAACGGTTTTTGAGGAGTTTTGATAAGATTAATATTAAAGTTTATCCAGCGGTGCTCTGACATTGAGGCAGTGTCTGCCACATGCCAGTTCTGGATTACATTAGATATGCGCGTCATAGTCAATGTGACATCTATTAATGTTTGACTTCTTGAGTTAACAAATGTCGGTACACAGCCTCTATTACTTATACAAAGGTTGTTAATGTTAATATAGTCATATAAAGACTTACCCCTTGTGTTGTTGTCTTCACTGCCCCAAGATACATGGTGTGAATTTGTATCACAAGCCATGATAAGTTCCCATTTCTGGGTGCGACAGTGTGCCACCAGTTCCTCCATCTCCCTTGTTGGTGGTGGGGTTGCCGAATTCTCAGGGAGGTAAACTGATGCGATGACAACAACAGTTTGTTTGCCCTTGACTACACATTCCACTTTCACGGCGGTTAGATCAGATGTTGAAAGGTGTTGTAGTGGTTGGGTTTTGATATGGCGAGCTTATTACCTGTGCGTTTGTATGTATCCAATCATATCTCTGTAACTACTGCATGGATTTTAACGTTTGACGGCTCATTTTTTTCGTATTTGAAAACATTGTATGTTGTATAGCTTAGTTTTTCGATTTATCTAACCAAAATCTAAAAAAAATTGGATCTTGTCGAATTGATTTATTTTTCATCTTATTAAAATTTTTTGTAAAACAGTCATGTTCTGGTAACTACTGTACTGATTTTAAAGTTGGACATCTACTTTTTTATTGTTAGAAAACATTAAAAAAGTATTGATTATTTTTAGATTATTATTAATTATTATGGATGTAGTCGAATATTTTTACTAACCTTTATTCTTAAATGACATTATTCTTATTTAAAAAAAAAAAATTTCTACAAAATATTGCACATATTCTAAATGTTTTGAATTGCAACAACATACACGATTCACAGATATGTATGTACACAGTAAAAAAACGCTCAAAGTAACAAAAATAATTATTTTTCTTTGTAGAAAATATATTTTCTGAAAAATTTTAGAAAAAATAATGAAAAAAGGACGGTAATAAAAACCAACCCTCGGTTTGGGGATTGGATAACATTTTAGAGGTTGTTAATTGCATTCCATACGTTTAAAGGTATTTGTAGTCAAATTGCACGACGAAAAAATGTTTTAAAAAACCACTTATAAGAACCAACCCTTATTTTAGGGGTTGGATGATATTTTAGGAGTTGCTTGGTGGTCTAGTTGTAATTTTTTCAAAGAGCTACCCGTTTAAAAAAAATGAAGTTTCTAGGTCAAGCGGAAGCCGAGATATTGCAAAATTTTCGAGCGGGCACGATTTTGAATCTGTTTTTCCAGCACGAGCTGGTTCCCCCGACTGAACGAGCTAAGAAAATTTACCTCCACTTTTGAGTTACTATATGTTTTTTATTTATTCATGAATCTTCGTGGAGATGAATGTATCATAAAGTTTAGACATTTGTGCATATATAGCATTAATTTCAGCCCTTAATGTTTATAAACAATGGAGCTGCGATTTAAAAAAAAGGAGTTATCTCGGCCCAGAAAGCTACCAGCTATCCAGTGATATGACTGTCGTGTTCCTGAGACCAGTAGTTCCGGAGTTACTTCTATCTATTTATAAAAAAATACCTCTTTTTTGCATTGAAAAAAATGTAACAAAATTGAAAAAAATCGATTTTTTTTAACATACCACAATTTTCAGACTTTTAACTATTTCCCGGCGTTTAAATTGATTTTTATGCACTCACTGACCTAGTTCAATCGTTTAAAATAAACAGATGGGATAAACAAATGCAATTATTCATAAACTATTGCACCGATTGGGCCCAATTTGTGGCCACATATAAAGGGTTATAATACTCTCATTTTTAGTAGATTGAAATTCGCCTATGACCATTATTAAAAAAGCTTATTAACAATTAAAAAACACTGCAAAAATGCATATTTTTTGCAATTATCTCGATAAATAATGCACCGATTTTAATGCATAAAAAATGAAATTGTAGGTTATTTTTAATACCTGCAACTTTCATTTGAAGACTTTTTCTCTATCTTGCCTCCAAAAAATTATATTTGAGAAAAACCTCATTTTGACTACTTTGACCAATGTTTATTTGGAGTGGGGGCAAAATTGGCTGTACTATATTTTGTATTTTTCATTAACTATCCCCCCAAGATCCCGTCGTCAGATTGCTGCTATCAATTTTTTTACGTTTTTCCGTAGAATGACTTGACTACCCGATGAATGCCCGTTTCGATGGTCCGAACAAAACTCTTTAATTCAAACAAAATTCGGTTGAACGTATATAGTTCGGATTATAGAGTCAGACCACATAATAAAAGGTAACCGTTAAAAACGTTAATTCCCCGGTAGTCTCGGGGAAACCCTTTTATGCGAGTCGGAACTTTTCTCGATTCGATTTTTTTAGTTGAAATATTATTGCCGTGCAAACATGTCGCAAAAAAGAAAGCGTCACACGTTAACCCTTTTGCAAAAAGTGGATATTCTAAATAAATTGTTTTTTTTTTAAGTCTTCTTTTTTATTTTTAATAAATGCGATGTTTTAGTCCGGGAACCAGCTGCAGAATTCGTTGAGTTATTTTCTAGATAAAAAATTTGAGTTTACATGACAGTTTTTACCCCAACTAAGCTCAGGCAATGATATGAAACTCCTAGAACGGTAATGGTGGATACCACCCTACCCTCCCACGCGTATGGAAATTCAAAAAATTTTGTAATCGTTAAACGGATCAAACTCAAGTATAAGGTATTTGATGCTGTGTTTAGTCGATTAAAGCTACTCAGCTGGCTCATTGATGGTAATTAGTACGTCAGCTGACCGTCGGAACAGGTGAGATGAAAAAATAATTGAAAATTATTTTTTATGTACTGAAATTGAAATATATTGTAACTTATAGTGCATACAGGGCCATAAAAATAGTCAGCTGGCCAATCGTTGGTAATAAGATCGTCAGCTGAGGCAATCAAACCCCCTGCGGCAGCGCGCTCGTGCGCCCAACGAATGATATGTTTTTCCCATTAACTGACTACTCTTTTACCCATGAACCGCCAACTGACTATGTTTTTTGCTTTGTATTATTTATTTATTTATTTATTTATTTATTTTACAGTATAGGGAATACTACAAGTTTTGAACCCACAACAGTTTCCACTAATTTGGTAATAAAAGATAGATAATATCTTAATCTATCAATAATCATAAAAACAAAAAAAATATACAGTTGAACAGACAATAGAGAATACAGTACTACTAGATAGACATACACACACATACACACACACACACACGCGCGCGCGCACAAAACAGTTAACAAATAAAATGAATTAAAAGAAATTAAAAAAGTAAAAAAAGGCATACAATTACATTTCTAAACGTTTAACGTAATTTTTAAAAGTGTTTAATGATGACGACAGTATATCAACAAATCTATTATTATTTATAAATAACTATTAAAGGACGACGTTATTCTACATATTGAGCTATTCATACCTAAATTAGTTCTACAAAAATTTATATCGAACAAATAATTATTTCTAGTATTTATAGATGGAACGTGAAAGTTTAACAAAGATAGAAGTTCAGGACAATCGATCAAGTTGTTAAGCAATTTAAACAAGAATATGAGGTCTGAATGAAATCTTCGGTTCACTAGGGTTGTTGTGATATTAGGAACATTATAGATGCCATTTATTCTAAAATTTAAGTAACGGGCGAATCTGTTTTGCAATCTTTCTAATCTAATTTTATATACAGGGTGTTTTCACTTTAAATTTGGAAAACGCAGGAATATATTCCCTATCAAAAATTAAGTGTAGTTTGCTCTATAAATTTTTTTTATGAATGCCTTTGTTTTGGAGATACAGGGCGTTGAAGTTAGAAAAAAAAATAACTTTTTGACATATCTCGGCTATCCACGTGTAGATTTGATTTAAACTTGGTGCACATTATGCGTATTGGGGGTTCTCATAATTGGCAGAATATTTGTCTTATCCCATTAGCCAGTGGCGTGCAAAGGGGGATGCGTGGCCCCTTTTTTTTAAAAAAAAGTACGCCATTGAGTTTTTCGAAGAATGTAAAGTAAATTTAAATACTACCATACAAAAGCAATCTAAAAGGCCTCTTGGTATTTTTCGATAATACGCAGCGTTCATGAGACTCTCGGACTATTAAGATTTCAATGCATGAAAAAAAAATAATTACGACATTGAGTAGAGGAAAGTAATGAAAATATTTACAGGTTCTTGACTTGCTGCGAAACAAAAAAGTTGCTATAAATTTTAATGCAGCATTTGAATTCAAAGAAAAATATCTCTTTTTCTCATTCAGCACTACCGTGCCATGTTATCATGCATTGGAATCTTGATAGTCCAAGAATCTCATGAACGCTGCGTATTATCGAAAAATACCAAGAGACCTTTTAGATTGCTTTTGTATGGTAGTATTTAAATTTAGTTTACATTCTTCGAAAAACTAAATGTCGAAATTTTTTTTTTATGCACTGAATTCTTAATAGTCCAAGAATCTCATGAACGCTGCGTATTATCGAAAAATACCAAGAGACCTTTTAGATTGCTTTTGTATGGTAGTATTTAAATTTAGTTTACATTCTTCGAAAAACTAAATGTCGAAATTTTTTTTTTATGCACTGAATTCTTAATAGTCCAAGAATCTCATGAACGCTGCGTATTATCGAAAAATACC